TATTATTATAGGAAACTCAGTTCTGCCCCTATCAGTGAGCTTACAGCAGGTAATCTGTCAGAGTGTCTGACTCGAAATGTGCTAAAAACCATTTGTTCTGAAATCAGACAGAGCTGCAGACTACATGACAATGTAGTCATAGAAACCATAATGACACAGAGAATTTTGAGAGAATGTGACACGAGCCATAACAACATGCCTGGGTATGTTCAACAAATCCAAGTGTGCCCCTTCTCTGTGCACTTGTACACAAAGCAGGGAGTGGGCATCCTTGTGTCACATGTCCGGAAGGGCCAAACATCACTATATCTTGATGCAACAGGAGGTGTAGTAGCAAAGGTGCCCAGTCAAAAGAAGAGGGTCCTCTACTATGCCCTTGTACTGCCCGGAGATGCAATGTGTCCCCCTATTCCAGTGTCTGAGCTCCTCACAAATGAGCACAATGTGCCGAACATTTCCTGTTGGCTCATGAAGTTCGTACATGCTCTTTGTACATTCACCACTTTGAAAGTTCACCACATTGAGACAGATTTCAGCTGGGCCCTTATTCAAAGTGTGCTCATTTCTTTTAACAGGGAAAACATCGATGTTTACTTGCAGAGGTCAGATAAAATTGTTCGGCATAAACTTTCCCAGAAAGAAATAAATAAATTTACAGTTGTACATATCTGTGCAGCACATATGATAAAGATTGTGTCTCAAGCTGTCAGCCAGCTAACCAAAGACAAAGGTTTGCATGATTTCATAATTTTCTGTTTTGCACTTCTACAAAATTGTACAGAAGTGGAGATGGCCAAAGACATTTTCAAACAGATGTGCCTTGTGTTCGTTGCTGAACAGAACACTTCTGTTGTCCAAGAAGCAGTTATCACCCTGAAACATCACATAAACTGTAAGAACATTGAGGCTGAGCAGGATATGCCCCACAAGGTAGACATACCAGAGGAGTCAGACAGTCCCATGACAGCAGACACGATTATTGGCCGATCGCAGTTCACTGCAGCATTTA